TATCTCACGGCGCTTCGCGCTTGGTGATGTGAGAGCCTGGTCCGGTGAGAACCCGGCGTGCTCCGTCCCGGCTTTGTAGGGATGCGAGGTCAATGGTCTAACGACTACGGCATGCACGACTATGAGTACACCCCCCCCCCACACACCAATAATCAAGATTAAGATTGAGATTCCGCCGCCATAAACAGTGGTCTTACACAGGATATCAAAACCCTGATGTTAGGACGCATAAAATCACGAGCCCATGCCACTAATCTTTTTCCCCGGTGATGACACACACATCACACAATGCGGTCCTTGATGACATACAGCAGTACGGCCCAGCGGGGAATATACACAGCACATGAGTGCGGGGGAATCACGCCGTATGGTTGAAAACTGCAACATACGAACGTATACCTCTCCCCCGCCTTGTTGACGTACTCTCTTTAGTGCCAGGTGGTAGTAGGGAATAGTTTTTTTCATTAAAGCGCAACACCTTTCGCTATTGTCGAGGAAGCGCAGTTGGCATTCATCTCCGGGGGCAGGGGATGATCACCTCCTGCCATCACTCCCCCCCTCATTTCCATGCGACTGGGCAGGAACTGGACTGTAGGGAGTGGTGTCATCACCCCCGCCGAGTGCCACACACACTGCAAGTGCTTCAGCCTTACGGTAATTTTTTGCTTACAGGGGTGTCACCCCCCCTCTATACGACACCCCCTGCACGTGTGGCCGTAGGCACGGTAGTGGGTAATTCTTTGCAGGCTGTGCTAACACACACCCTACAGGTTTCGCACTGCTTCGGTTCGTGCATGTTTGCGGCAGTGGTACACTACCAAATATCCTTGTTATCACGCCTCCTTCCATTGCTCCCGCGACCTACACTGCATCGCCCGGGCTGCGCAAGATAATACCCCCCCGCACGCAGAATACGACACCCGGTGGTATGTTTTTTTAAGAGGCAATATGTCATCCCCGGGGTGTGTTACCGTTTGTCGTAAATGTGCATTCATCATTTCGATGTTTATCATGCTTCCTCTCGCAGCAGCGAGTGTCTCTCACAGTTCCTTCTTAGGGGAAGACCGGAGGCTCGTCGTAACATTTCCGCGCCTGCCCAGGGACCGCCAGGCATCCGTGACACGGAGTACAATCGACGTCCAAAGTCCCCTCGACTGGCTCAATTTCGCCGGGATGTATGGTCAGTCCAGGACCGATTGTCCACCTGCACTTATCGCATTGTTTCTCTGCACACAGGTGGTTGTTCCGAAAATCGAAAGTACCGGCAAACGCCCTGTCTCCAGGCACAGGTCCCTGTGGAAAGCGTTTTTTTTCTCGGTTCGTCTTTTATTTGCATAAAACCGGGAAATCTTGTTCACTTTTTCCTGAGGTGTATTTTCTCAGACCACAATTCTGAGACCGGATTTCGACAGCTCTTGGAATTCCGCAGACTTTACTTTTTTCCGATTTTGATTTTAATAAAAATAATACAAGTTATGGCCGGAAAACTGGATGACGACCATTTCGTTAACTTTGCATCGGCGATGTTCAACAACAGAGTTTGAAATAGACCGCGGCAATCGATTCCTCTCGAAATTCCCCAGACTTCACTTTTTTCCGATTTTCAAAGGAAAAACTGGTTCTCGAGATATGCGAAATTTTGTTTTTGCCGGTGGGCGGAATTTTTCTTCCCACACACCACACACCAGCCACACATACCAGCCACATTTCTCTTGTGCGAGGGCTCAACCTTCGCCCACACGCCCTACGACGGCGCTAGCAGCCGCGCAGGAGATGCGTACTGAGTCGGGTAGAAGGGCTAAAAAGAATGTCAAGGCGTGGAAGCAGAAAAAGGCGCTGAACCCGCTTCTCGTGCTTCTGACGAGCGACAGTTTTGTTTTGAAGGGCGCGTGGAGGTCGTGGAGATCGCTGCTGAAAAAATAACGTATCCGGAACGCGCACGCTTGGGCCGAGACGGTGTGTCGTGGTGTTCGTGTTGTTGGTATTGTGGCCATCACTACTGATTTAGGCTACATTTTTACAGGGTGCGTGGTGCGTGCCTTGAGTGCTACAGCATGTTACTGCGTTGTTCTACGTGCTTCGGGGGGTCCGTGGTGTGGTTAGGGGGACCCGTGGGTGGGTGGGTGGAGGTTCCGTGAATCATTTTAGTGAAAAATGTCGCATTTTGCCCAAACAACAAAAAGTCATCGGATATCGACGCAGCTCGACGCCGCCGTCACGACNTGTTTTGAAGGGCGCGTGGAGGTCGTGGAGATCGCTGCTGAAAAAATAACGTATCCGGAACGCGCACGCTTGGGCCGAGACGGTGTGTCGTGGTGTTCGTGTTGTTGGTTTTGTGGCCATCACTACTGATTTAGGCTACATTTTTAGAGGGTGCGTGGTGCGTGCCTTGAGTGCTACAGCATGTTACTGCGTTGTTCTACGTGCTTCGGGGGGTCCGTGGTGTGGTTAGGGGGACCCGTGGGTGGGTGGGTGGAGGTTCCGTGAATCATTTTAGTGAAAAATGTCGCATTTTGCCCAAACAACAAAAAGTCATCGGATATCGACGCAGCTCGACGCCGCCGTCACGACCAAAGTTGTTTCACGTTTCAATTCGTTTTTTTTCGAAAGTTATCGCCAAAAATCAAATTGGACAAATTGTCGTGGACTGACCATCTACTATTCCGAACCAAAGAGCCTTCGCACGATGAACAAAACTTCTTTGCATGAATAGGAAAACTTTTGATTCCTTTGCAACGCATGCACGCGTTCCCGTAGACCATGAGCATGATGGACAATGCACAAGCGTAAGCGTTCAGACTCAGCGGGTTATGGCAGTAGGATCTGCGGCAAAACGCCGCTAGCCTAACAGCACACACTCACGCATACGCAAAAAGTCACGGTGAGCCGAAAAAGAAAACCCGCACATGACACACATTCCGCAGGATATACGGAAAAGCGGCACAACCGAACGCTGAGATGCCAACGATGCAACCGTGATGATATTGGCCGTGTCCTCTTGCGTGGCCCAGGGAGGCAAGCCACCTAACTTCCAAAGGGTAGCCTCGTGCGTTAGGTAGTCTCACGAATATTGAGCATGTGCGTGCCTTCCAACCAGATTGCCGTCCAAACGAATAGCCGTCATTGATGTTTCCACTCCGTGTGTATCCTTATCCCCGAATGCAGCTGCCATAGACAATGAGTAGCGCTCGACCCCAGACCCCAGCAAGCGAGGGTAGCGGAGACGATTTCTCGGCCCCGTTACTTGTCCCTCGAAGAGAGAGCAACCACCGCGGTCGTAGCAATGTACGACGACCAGTGGAGACCCGCCGTCTGCCCGATAAGAGCCCCTCCTGGTGGTTCCTTTTAGCGATGGGACTGCTCCTGTTCGTCACGGCGGGCACGCAGGCGTGGCTGGCGTCCATGATTCGAAGAAAGGCAAGGACCTGTAGGCTAGAACGGCGTACGATACACCAAGAACGGGTGGCACTTGACAGCAATAATCAGCCCTGCTGCAAGAGAACGCTTGTGCAATTCCCGGGTATTTTTTGGAGGGAGCCCACACGCTATGCCACCTCTAGGTTGGCTCCTTAAGCTTGCACGCGCTTGTCTCATCCGCCACACGTGTAGCAGGGGATTGAGATCCTAGATGAGAGCTACTACATGGCCGCGGGAGATCCGGTGGTCGGGTTCCTAGCTTACGGTGTCGGTGCCTGCTCCGTCATGGTGACCTTGATGGCGGAGGCGGGGCAAGGGGTTGAAATCGCTACCTGGACGATGATTGTCTGGGCGGTGATAACCGTCGTGATCAGCTTAACAAGAAGCTTCGACCAAATCGCAGGTACCAGTGAGATTCAGATCGTTGAGCTATTATTGAGTGCTAGGTCGCCTCAGGCGGGAGGGAGGGAGGGTCTGGCATGTAGACGACCTGAGATGTCTGTCGTCTTGTCTTCGACAAGATAACAGGGATGCACGTTTATGTGGCGAAAATGTAAACTTTGCACCCACACCATGGACTGGTCAGTGCAAACATGCATCCGCCAGTTTATCAGGGGGTAGCTGACATCGCATGTACCACCGCCGTCAAGTCGGCGCCCAGATTGTCAGCATTGCTTCCCCATGACGACAGTGTGCCAGCGGTACAAGCCACGATTTATTCGGTCCGTTAGGGTTTACTGTTTTTCTTATCCTTCCCGCTTCCCCCCTCCACTGCGCCGGCGATACGTGCGCTGTGTGCCTTTGCCTTCCTTCCTCCAAAACAACGTGAACGCCAGTGTACGGCTGCCTTAACGACTACGACTTTTGCGTGGAGAACTTCATCGACCTACGCTATTCCTACGGCGACTGTCTCTGGTGAGCACCGAATAATGTAGGGGCTTATATGGTGTGGCGGCTAGCTCTGATCTACTTTAGGCCGTCGTGCAAGCATGAAGAAGGGAGTTGTGCAACCCGAAATCGGATATTTGGCAGGTAAGTGCAAGGCACCAGTACATCAAGTAGTCACTGGAGGATGGACACGTAACGATGGTGCACGGACCTTTTTTTCTAGGTGGCGCCGTTGCCGCTGCTACGGAGACCAGTCCTACACAATTACCGTGCGTTTCCCGTTGGCATGCTCTACGTTGTCATCACACGCTACGTATCTGAATCCTCCACTCTGCCGCCACCACGTCGTCCTGGTTTTGGTTTGCTTCGAACGACATCCCAGCGGAAAGGGCCACAGTGTTGATCTTCATGTGGACGTTGCACAGAACGTGAACTTTGCCTGCGACGATATCATGGTGAGCCGAGTTATCGTTAAAAAGCTTGTACCTGTCTTTACGAGCGCTCTAGGCTAAGGGTACTATTACATCCCTTCCTGCGAACGAATCATTGTGAAGCGCCCAATCGTCAACAAGGGTGCAGGCATACGGGGAACACCAAAGAGCTCGATGTATCCCACATGCTGTTTTTATTTATTAGTATGCGGGTTACGTTTGTGGAATCCGGATCCATGCCGCGAAAGGAATGCACCTTGTTTAACCCAACACGGTATAATTCGATTCTCTCCGGGGCATTTTGAAGGTGGCTACCTACGCCCTTGGCATATATCTTGTCGCTCACCCCGAGCGTTCGGTCCTCCGTTATGCAGGATACTGTGGACGATATGCTCGCTTCGTACGTTCTTACGTGGTTTATCCTGGTGGAGATTGTCGTGACGGTTGTGCTGCAAGCGCGTCGCTGGCTGCCCTGCTGGCGTCACCACTGCCCCCAGCGAATACGGTAACCAATCGCAGAGATCGAGGCTAAAGCCGTCGCGAAACGTCAGATTTGCAAAAAACTTCCAGAGGGATGGTATTTTTTAAAGGGTTTGTGATTCCCGTTCGATAGCCTTGTGGGGAGAAGAATCGGATGGGTAGATCATCCTTGTATATATACGTAGTGTCGTCCTGCCAATTTACCGCGCGCACGTCTACCGTTTTTGGAACATATTTTCGATCAATGGGTTTTCAAGGTGCAGTCATGAAAAGCCGAATTTACATGTGAACAGATAGACACTCAACGATTGGATGGCAACAGTAGTGTCTGAGTATTGTAGAAAGAGTCGCCGTTTGCTTGGAAAAAGTCGACCGATATTTCGGCATGTGGGTGGGGGCATCGAAGAGACACGGTTCAGTTTAGGTTCTTCGATGAGTTTTTGTGTGACGGCCCAGAAACTTTGAAGAACACGTAGGCAGAGCAACAGTTATTCGATATGGTAGTTTTTTTGTCGAAAGGCTGGTCGTGATTGTGCGTGTTTGTCAATGGCAGAGGTAGCCTAGAGAAGTTAGCGTTAAGAAAGGAACGGGGCCGTAAACAACGAGGAATCGAGCCGGCGTGGATCTCAGCCATTTTCGTTAGAGCGAGACCTCTTTGTAACTCACGTACGGACAACGGTGACTAGGATGTTCCTTGACATAGATGTCCTATTCGCTCATCGCTATAGCAGTGGGAAGCCAAGTGTACTTAGCTGCGTCTGTCCTACGATGCCGTATCGAGTGTCGGAGGCGTCAGAGAGAAGAACGAAGAACGCAGCAACATGATGTAGCACGGGCAAGGGTAGCGTAGGAATCCATCACCCAATCCATTTGTAGCCGATGATGAAGTATTCATGACAAGACATCGAACAAACATGAGCGACCTTCCTGTGGCATCTCACCGTTCTTCGAAACGGAAAGAACCACCTCTCGGTAGTCTATAGCTTGTGTGCTTACATTGTTGTCGGAACGTTTCAATCTGTTCTCCATCCGGGTCAACAACAACTGGGCCTACGTCAGAAACTCATCGCAGTCCAGGTGTTTCCCAAGGACTCGCGCAAGCAGGCTACAGAAGTCGCCCACTCTCATCGTACCCACAAAGACTATGTGCTTTGAACGGGCAGTGTTTTGCATCTACGTACTTTCATCAAGCGATTTCCTTGGTATCGAAATCATTGAACAAGGGTCCTATTTCTCATTGATTCCCCATGACGCTGTTGGAGGTAGGCTAAACTACACGTCGCATTTGTGGTGAAAATCAGGGATCTTCGATCGTATGTGCGCGAGGCCCATTTTGGTCAAGGTCACTGGTCAGCAGCACCTGGCAGTAGCGGCGGCGTAGGGTGTAATCACAACAAACGCAGTGTACAACTACTGGAGCTCGGTCTCACCGCCGGACGAATGCAACGAGGTGTGCGGTCAAACTGAACTGCTGTTGCACAACGGGCGTTACGCGACCTTACACCTACCTCATCCACTACGATACATGGACCCATTCCGCAGGCAGGGCGGCATTTTTGTAGGATTCCAAGGAGTTCCAACATTCCGTGGCTATCGCTGAGTGCTCCCGGCGGTCTCTTTCCGCCATGTTCTCTCCAACGAGCGCCATGTTGACCATCACAATTTCGAAAGTTCCGTTCATGCACATTCAAATCGCTTTGAACACAGCATGCCCTCCATGCCCATGTTGTGAACCCACCCACAAAGACTACAGGGACCATATCTCCGCTCGCCCCCAAGTCAATCAAAGTATCCAATCGTTAACATCAGCATGTTATATCGGATCGACCGTCAATTCTCCAACAGCATCGTGCTTCAACGGCTTCACAAAAAATATACTGGTAACCATGATCGGCTACTCCAAAGTCAAGCTCGTTGACTACACCCAAGTCCTGACTACGCAGCTGCCCACGGGCCATTCACAAATCGACATCAACGGCGAGTCCGTCGTAGGCAAGCCGCACGTGCGGCATGCCCAACTCTTCTTCTCGGGACGCCAGCATCGCGTTAGTGGCGTGGTACTCGATGTCGCTGCCCAGACCCACGAGCAAGGTTCTCCGGGCCTTAAGCTGGCCTGCCAACACCACGCTGTCCTCGACACTGGTAAAAAAACAGCCGATCGATACAAAGATAAGTGTAGAGAGGAGTTACAGGTCAGGGAGGGATGCGTGAATGAATGGGTTCGCGGGTTGGAGTGACGGCCCTTGCTGCAGACGCACATTTGTCGCCGTGTATTTTGAACAAGTAATTGACGAGGTTTTTCACAAGTGTTGACAACTATCCATTCGGTGAAACAACGACCTGCCTTGCACACTTGCCCTTGCCGCTTCAACCACTGCGTAAGAGGCAACATATAGTAGTCTCGCAAATCCTCTACTGTAAATAGCCTTGGTCTTGAAGGTTACGTTTGACTTGATCAATCTACCCTGCTTACTCATCATGCGGGCCCACCCCTACTTATGAGGTATCGCGCGGTGTCTCGCTACATTTGTTTTCTGCGAGCCAGTCGCCAAATATCTGCTTGAACGTGCGACATCACCATCCACTGCGCTCTGACCAATCGGCCACACGGGCGACTGGTAGGCTAGCGGCAGCTCCTAGCTAGATGCTCATGGAGGTATGCATGAGAAGATTACAACGGCGGCCATGTGGTGTGCGGGGTGTCTACCATCGCACGGCGGTCTCCACAGCCCCACAACGCCAGCGGTGATGCACACAGCGAGAGCCGGACAACAAAGGCCGGCGCCTCAGCGTAAAACCCGGGAATACATGGTTAAATATCCCCCCCCCACCAGAGCCTGGTCCGGTGAGAACCCGGCGTGCTCCGTCCCGGCTTTGTAGGGATGCGAGGTCAATGGTCTAACGACTACGGCATGCACGACTATGAGTACACCCCCCCCC